TGCTCACCATCATCCTGCAAGTTGAGATCGCCGCCAGCATTACAGATCTTTTTCGCCTCTTCAACCAGCTGACTCTCGGTCTTCTCTGAATTGTCGCACAACATCATCAGTGCTGTCCTTCCGAAGGGACCACGCACATTTACTGTGGACTGTTCGACTTCAATAGGTGTGCTGGACGAGGCTTGTTCGTGAAGAAGTGTCGGAGGTGGGTGTACTTTTTTGGTGGGCTTCAGTTCCACTCTCGGATATCTATAATGGCTAATTAGTTGGTGATAAGGTTTGAAAGAACAAAACGACTTACTTGTTCGAGTGCAAGGTAGTGAAGGGGTCGGAATCGTAAAAATTCAAATTGTCTAGTCGCGGACGTTTTGAACCAAAGAGATGATCGGAGTAGAACCCAGCTCGCAGCATTTGTTCACTTTGTGACAGGGAAGCTAGTTTATCTAAACCATATTGAGAGATGAATATGTGCAGGTTTCCCATAAGCTTAAATCTTACTCTGAGCTTCGGTGGGAGGAATCCAGCAAGGAGCTTTGATAGTGCGACGCTTCCTTGTTCTTTGTTGTAGCACGAACACAGAAGCGATGACAATTAAAATAGCGAAACAGCCGATGATGAATGCCCAATATCCGTCGGAATGCGGAAGGGGTACGGTAGAATTCGGATGTCGAGCGATCGCTTCGTAGATTGGCATGCCCATTTCCGACAAATCCTAGAAATTTTCATTTATTATGGCTGTTATAATAGAATTACTTTCGCGCTACCTTCTTAGCACTAGCTGCTCCAAGATAGTTAGCAACAGTATCCACGTTACTAAAACAATCCCCGTGACAGCCAGAAACGTCGACTTCAATCCAGACCAGCACACCGACATTCGCAACAGAACGTTTCAGACGAATTTCGCCTCCGAATTGTACGAACAAACGCTGTAAACATTCATATCTTAGCTGTTAGCTTTGTTAAATGTATATTCTCACGATCGTGGGAAAAGTCATTTACCTGATCTTTGGGGAGAGCGATTCGCTTGGGAGACGGTTTGCCATTCCAGTGAAAAACAAGTGGTCCATCGTCGTCGGTCTTAATTCGAACTGACGCACGAAGTTTTTGACTCAGAGTGAGGAGGAACATTCCCACATTCCTTGCAAACTCTTCGGGAGTAGTTAGGACGACTATGGATATGTCACCAGAAAGCTGGAAAAGTAATTTTTGTTTATATTAAAAAACAGGACCGGATTCTCAGCTGACCAACCGAACTATGTTTTTCTGTGGAGCAATCGCCGCCATCAAATGCACATCCGGGCAGGTCGCACTGGTTGTCGCAAACTCCGTCAGCGTAGTGTGAGCGACAGTAATCCACAACCTGTGGAGGGCAACGGGGAGTGGTCGGAACGCAGTCGAATCCATCAAACAGGCACGCTTCATTGTTACAAATCTGGAAAATCCGAGGCTAATTGACGGCGTTGATGACAAATATCTTTTCCCCGAAGAAAAAGCTACTCACAGAGTCACATCGTCCATCCTTGAACACATGGGCGCAGTAGCTGGCCGCACTGCAGTTTGCGAAGGGATCTGGCTCCCGAGCAGAACAGTCACCACCGTCGAAACCACAAGCGTAGAAGTTACATTCGGAATCACATTTACCATTACCGGCTTTGGAATTGCAACCGGCAAGGGCGCAGAGATTACGTTCCATCCTAAAAATTTTCGTAATAGCTTCGTCAGTGGCTGGTCATTAGAGAGCCAGAATCCTACCTGTCTGTCTCGTTGAATTTGTCGAGATCCACAAAAATTTGACAGTTTCGACCGGTATAACCGCGAGGACATTCACACTTGTAATCATCCATACCATCGATGCATCTGCCACCATTCAGGCAGAGTCTGAATGATTTTAGGTTTTTTTTACTCTATAAAAATGGTCTCGATTAAGAGATTTAGGTACGGATATCTGTCTTTATCCATCTATAAACACCGTGTGTCAACTCTCATCTCTTCGGTAAACACTAGAAACAATGCCAAGTACCCTAACGCGAACAATAGCATTTAGTGCCACTTCAGATGTGAATATCACACCCTAGCGTGGCTGATGAGGCCATCACTAGTCTATAATTATACTCATAAGTACTAGGCTGAAGACCCCCTCCGTATTGAGAAATGCTGAGTAAGTCCCACACTGATCACTTGCACTGATTCAACTCTTCGACGTGATTCCAGCATGAGGTCCGTTGAGATGTCACCTTCATGAATCGCAACAAAGTGACAAGGATGGGAAGAGACATCGTGTTCACGCAAGCCCTCGGCAACCAGCTGGTTTTGATGCATGCACACATCTTAGGAGCGGAAGTTGGTTCAGGATTCGTAATATTCATGTTCCCACGACCCCTCTCTCTTATCACTCAGGTCAACAGAGTGTTTTTTGTTAGGCGCGCCGCGTTTACGATAGTTAACTACACATACCGCGATCATTTTACGGTTGGTGTGAGAAACAAGTGGTGCCTGGTAGTTACAGATTACGGTGAGTCCAATATGAACGAACTTACCCAGGCCTACAATCGTCGTCGTTAAAATGGCAGTCCCGGCCGCTGAATCCTCGCTTGCACAGACATTCGTAGCGATTTATTCCATCGACACATGTGGCGCCATTTAGACAAGGATTTGAAGCGCAGTCATCTGCAAATTCGAATTTTGTAGTTGTAAAATATGGTTTCGGTGAACTCACCAATGTCGACACCACAAGTTCTGCCTGTGAAACCAGGTTGACAGACGCATCGGAAATTTGCCAGCTCATCGAAGCATGTGCCGTTGTTCAGACATGGATCTGAATTGGATTTTGTGATATAAAACAGAGTTTCCAAATAGTGAGTTTACTTTTGGCACAATCGTCAATGTTTTCTAGGCAATTCTTTCCGGTATAGCCTTCTGGACAGATGCAATTATAGCTTCCATGAGTATTGCGACATAGTCCACCATTTCTGCAGGGCTGGTCCTTACATTCGTCAACATCCTGGAGTCAATCATCAGCTTCTGCGTGGTTGTGATGCAGTTTTCACTTACTATTTCGCAAAATTTGCCCTCGAACCCAGGTTTGCACTCGCAGGTGTAATTTCTATAGTTCGCGGTTGGTCGACATGTTGCCCCATTGTCACACCGATTTCGAGAACAAGGCTTCCTCTGTAAATGTATTTTTTAGAATATTTGAGCTCAAAGAGGAGCACATCTACCTTGTACTGGCATTTCTCCCCGAAGAAGGCAGCGGTACAGTGACAAATGCTGGCCCGAGCGGCATTGATACATTGTCCGTTGTTGAGACAAGGATTCGCTGCACAATGGTCGACGATCTTCTGAACAATGATGTGAATATCATAAGTTTCCATTTGTACCTTGACAAGCTACCAACCTCACAGTTCTTCCCGCTGTACCCACTTGAGCAGCTGCAATGATAGTCATTGACTTTATCGGAGCATGTACCACCATGTTGGCAAGGATTAGCGGAGCACTCGTCAATTTCCCTTTGACAATCGAATCCGGTAAAACCAGGAGGGCACTCACAACTCACAGCCCTGAAAAAATTGAATTGATTTTGCAAAATATTCTGTTGTAAAAAGCTTACTTTGTTTTATTGTTTTCAACACAAATTTGACCGAATGGGCATTTGGTCATCTCGCATGCGCTCAGCTTTTTCTCGCAGAACTCTCCAGCAAAGCCCTGAAGCAAAAAAAA